CATATTACACAGGGACGGGAGGAAAGTATATTTTCTATGACATGCAGGTAATTAGGACACCTAGTGTTGTGTGTGTAATTTTTTTTTTTTTTCTCCCAGAACTGGGGATTGAACTTAGGCCCTTGCACTTGCCAGGGAAGAACTTAGTCCACTGAGCCATCTCCCCGGCCCTCTGTGTGTATAATTCTTGCAGGGAATATTTTACTGTAGACTGATCTTAGCTGCAGTTTGGCCTTAAAGAAAAAAATGGTAAACTAACCACGATTCCCCACACCTGAACCCAACTGACGTGCCAGCCCACTCCATCCAGAGAGGCACATATTGGGAAGGACCTTGAGCTTCTGGAACCTTCTCTGCCTGTGATGGGGTTCTGCCCTTCACCACCTAACTAGTAGCCAGGGTGCTCTTGGCTGTGGTTCCATGCATACTGCTGCTTAAAACTGAAAAAGTGCCCTCAGAATTAAAAGAATGTAAGAAGTGTAAGAAAATAATTTTATTTTTTTTTTTTTAAGAAAATAATTTTAGATATAGCTCAGTGTTACTTCACCTGCCTGATAAGCACAAGGTCCTGAGTTTGATTCCTGGTACCAAAAATGAAAGAAAAAAAAAAAAAGGAATTTTATTACATCCCAGCACTAGGGAGGCAGAGGCAGGAAGAGTTTGAGATCAACCTGGCCTCAAAGTGAGCTTCTGCATAACAAGACCCTATCTCAAAAAAAAAAAAAAAACCCAGAGAGAGTAAGAGAAAATTTCAGTACAGTGTGTCTTGTCTTTTTTTTTTTTTTGGCGGAACTGGGTATTGAAATCAGGTCCTTGCGCTTGCCAGGGAAGCGCTTATTCCACTGAGCCACCTCCCCAGTCCCAGTCTTGTCTTAAGTAGTTATGGCACTTTCACCCCAGAGTAATATTTATAACAGATTTTGTTATGCCCAGCTGGTTACATCATGGCAGCAGTGTTAAGGGCTAGTACTTGCTGAGATATGAGATGATTTAAAAAGCAGCAGGTAGGTTCTTTGTTGGAAATCAGCCACATGTTTATGAAGTATTTATATTGGCTTGAAGATAATGCCTCTAAATCACCATGGAAGAAAAAGTACAAAAATAAATGGGGAGGTAATTATTGCATTACAGTTAATCTCAGGAATAGTTGATTCCTGGAAATAGATTAAATTTTAAAGACCAGGAGTTTGCCTTTGAAACACTCTCTTTAAAAATAAATATTTAAGCCAAAAAAGAGAAAGGAGCCAGCACCTGAGACCAACAGCCTAGCCAGAGAGCAAGGTGAAAACTCAGGTGGTCAGGAGACGGTGTGGAGAGGGCGTCGTGTGCTGTGCGGACACTGGTGAGGCTGTGTCACATGAGCACTGTGAAGTCGTTGGATTTACGGGTGCAGCGTCACTTTGACAAGAGCCATCAGGATAGACTAGAAAGGAGAAATTGAGGACAGCAGTGGCGACATTCTTAAGTCTTCATGTAAAAGAAAGAAATGGGAAGGTGGAGTAAGTGTAATTGGGGTAGGGTTTTTTTTCTTTCTTTGTTTTCTTTAATTTCTTTTCCATAATTTTATTGAGAAACAAATAGCAATGAGACAGTTTCAAACCAAATTGGTAGGACAGTTTCAATAATTAACACATTGCATATTCTTCCTAGTGGTTAATTGCTGTACAAGATGCAGACATGATATCCTATTTACAAACACTATTAGAACAAATCCCGAGCTAGGGAGATGGCTCAGTGGAATAAGCGCTTCCTTGGCAAGTGCAAGGGCCTGAGTTCAATCCCCGGTTCCGGGAGAAAAAAAAAAAAAAAGAACAAATCCCTCCGTTCAATAAGAGAATGTAACTATGTATCTATCCTAACCATTTTGAGTACACAGATACAAAATGGACATTCATCTGTATCCCCTTTTTTGGTTTAGTTCTGTTATTTGAATATTATAGGTGTGTTAACTCAGCAAAATATTCTAAAAGAGTCCAGTAGTCCATAATAGTATTGGGTCTTCTTCACTGGCAATGTCAGAAATTTTTGACCTGAGTCCCCTACAGCTCAACATAACAGCATGGCTTTACTTCTGTTTTTTTGGCTTTACTTCTTATACTTCATTTTTATACTTTTCTGCTGGAAAGTTAAGACCAAGGTAAAGCAAGACCTATGTAACAAGAGTTGTAGCTTTTGGGTCTGATAAGGTCAGTGAAATCTCCTCAGGATTTATCCTGAGATCCTGTACCTCAGATTGTAGATCCTTTGTCAGTGTCAGCTATGTGGATGAGTCACGGCCATTGCTTGACCAGTGTGCTCTCTGTGAAAGGCTGAGAGAATGTTTTCTCTCCATGTGACTCTCCTTAGGCACACTCTACATCATCCATCATCTTTTTTTCTTTTTTTGGCGGAACCAGGGAAATACAATTGAACTCAGGCCCTTGCGCTTGCCAGGGAAGCGCTTATTCCACTCAGCCATCTCCCCAGCCTGGGGTACGGTTTCTTTAGGAAAGGAGGATATTTGTCTGCTGATAGGAAGATCAATAGGAGAGTGCTGACAGTGCTGGCGAAGGAAGGAGAACTGGTGGGGCGATGCTGTTATGAAAGACTTCAGCCCTAGGACAACTCATCCGTGGTCACTTTACTAATGGGTGGAGACAGGTCGGTGGAAGGTTGCGGATGTCTTCGCTGAAGGTTCTGCCTTCTCAGGGAAATAGGAAGTGAGGACATTATTTGAGAATGGAGGAGGTAGTGCTGGAGTTTTGAAAAGAGGTCTGGAATAACTGGCAGTGGCTGATCATATGTGATAAAGAATCAGGAAAATGTCAGGATGCACTTGACAGAAAAATGAAGGTCTGCTGTCAGAGATTAACGCCACAAGGAGGCCACTGTCGCCATCTACATGAGATTGGGAGTGGTTTATTTTTGTTTGTTTGTGTCTTAGTTATTTTTTACTTGTTGCTGGGCCAAATACCCGACACTCAAAAAGAAGGAAAGAAAGGTTTAAGCTCACAGTTACTGGAGGGTTCAGTCCATATTCCGCTGGCTCCAAGGCAAACAACAGCAGTTCATGCGGCAGAAAACCATGAAGAGCAGAGGAGCAGCAGCTGCCAAGCCTCTCTCTTCCTTCAATGCTGTCTGCCAAGACCGGCGCTCCACAGCGAAGAGATTGGAGTTCCTCCAAACTGGCGCGGCAGCGAAGATCTAGCTCCTCTGAAGACTGGGACTTCTCCACGGAAGCGGGGCAGGGCGGCAGGAAACCAGGCAGGGTGGCTTCCTGCCTTTCTCAGTTCCTGGGCCCTGCCCACGTGCAGGGCTAGGCCCCCATGCTGAGATCTGCGGGAGCTGATTCGGGCAGGTTGACACAATGTATCAACTAACACAGTTTGTTTTGGCAGACCTGGGGATTGAACTCACACTCTTGCCTTGCTAGGGAAGCACTTATTCTACTGAGCTATCTCCCCGGCCAGATTGGGAATGTTTTGGGATCAGCCCAAATGCTGTTGCTGGAGTCCTTAGTACATTGGTAGTCATTGAAACTGCAGGTGTGGATGAAATTTCCCACAGAGTAGAATGAATTAGCAGTGGAGAGAAGGTCCAAGCCCCAGACTCAGAAGGATCTGCCAGGGGCTGGTGAGATGGCCCAGTGGTCTAAAGCAGCTACTTAAAAAAAAGCTAAGCTAAGCAAAGCGCAGGGATCGCGGTTCAATCCCCCAGCACCACGTGCCAGCCAGCCCTGCCCCCTGGTGGGCTGAGCTGGCCACACATACAAAATAAATGAATAAATAAATTAAAAAAAAAAAAAAAGAAGAAGAAGAAGAAGGATCTGCCAGGGAAATAGGAGCCAAGAAAAAGAGTTTTTTGTGTGGATGGAGTGACTGGCTTGCTGCTGCCTCTGAAGATACTGCTTCCTACCTGTCCTGTATGGTGATGGGCTGGGCAGGTAATGCTGGTAAAAGAACAGGGCTGCATAACTTCAAGTCACTGTTCATTGAGGAATACATAAATAGAAACCAGAATAATAACAGTAAGTGAAGACTGCTCCTAAGAAAAGCAGGAAGGTCTTTAGTGGACCTGGAATGGCACTCCGTGAAGAGACAGCAGCTTCTGGGAAGACCCAGAGGCACAGAGAAGGAATGAAAATAAAATCTAAGTACATATGTTTCTTAAATATTTAATTCCTTTAGTAATTTGATCTTTTGTCTTTTAAAACTGATCCATGGGAGAGGTGGAAGGGAAAAGGAAAAAAAAGGCAAAGTATAAAATGGAAACAAAGCCTTGTAAATAAGGAGGTGTTGAAGAGAGGGAAGGGGGCATAGGGAAAGAAAGAACTAAGGTATCATGTGCAGGGACAAATTCCCTATGATGACTGTTATCATTGGACATATCTAATTTGTACCAATAAACTATAAAAAATAAACTGATCAATATATGGTTCTCCTTATGGTGGGGGGGGGAAGTAAAGTAGTCTTCTATTTAGTTCTGTGTGTCCCTAGGCTAACTCTTAAAAAATATCTCCCTGTCAGGGGTTGTAGTGCATGCCTGTAGTTCCAACCCTGGGGGTGGCTGTAGGAGGATCCTTGTGAGTTCCAGACAAGCCTGGGCTACAAAGTGAGCTTAAGACCAGCCTGAACTGCATAGCAAGACTGTCTGAGAAAGACGAATACCCAGAGACCTTTTTCATGAAAGTTCTTGGAATGGGAAAATACGCAGCAGTGTTCTTTTTTTTTTTTTTTTAAACATTTTATTTATTTGTGTGTGGGTGTGGGTGTGGGTGTGGTGTGTGTGTGTGTGGCCAGCTCAGTCCACCAGGGGGCGGGGCTGGCTGGCATGTGGTGCTGGGGGATTGAACCGCGGTCCGTGTGCTTTGCTAAGCTTGTTCTAAGTAGGTGCTTTAGACCACTGAGCCATCTCTCCAGCCCAGCAGTGTTCTTTTCTTTAACAGTATGTTCTCATTCTTCTCTGCCAGCCAGACAGGTGTTGGCTGAAAGCTCCTTCTTTTTCTTGCTTTGTGTATCCAGGATGTAAGAGCACAGCAGAAAATGTCCACTGAGCGAACTTCTTGGACGAGCCTGTCCATGATTCAGAAAGTAGCCCTGGGCCTTGGGATCCCAGCCAGTGCTGCGGTTGCCTATATCCTGTACCGCAGGTACAAGGAAAGCAGAGGTACGTGAACCCCAGAGCTGCACTGCATGAGTACTCCGATTTCTGTGTTCCTGCCTTGGTAAATTAAGATGGAAACTTTTCTTGTCAGAGCAGATATTGTTTACTGAGACATAACTGGCTTTCTGTGAGAAATATTTGATTTCTTCTTTTTTTTATTTTTTTTAAATTTTTTATTTATTTATTTATGTGTGTGTGTGTGTGTGTGTGTGTGTGTGTGTGGCCAGCTCAGCCCACCAGGGGGCGGGGCTGGCTGGCATGTGGTGCTGGGGGATTGAACCTCGGTCCCTATGCTTTGCTAAGCTTGTTCTAAGTTGGTGCTTTAGACCACTGAGCCATCTCACCAGCCCCAGATTTCTTCTTTTACATGTTCTTACTGTGAAGCTACTTTGTGAAATGCATTCATAACTCCATTGATCGGTTTCCTTTAGCAAGATACATGTGCAGATATTAAAAATATGTATGCATCCTTATGTGTGTGTTCCTTATCTCTAGCTGGTTGTTAGGGAAAAGTGGTTCCTATCAATGATGACCTAGAGAATAGCACCTAGAAAAATAATAGTTATAGAGTCGTCGGGAAAAATTTTATACCTGATGGACACTTCAAGGAAGCTTGGACTTTTCTGTCTTCTCCAGGAGTTTTTTGGAGAAAAACAGTTTACCTAAAACCTTTGTGGGGCCTGTTTTTCCTGTTTTAGCATCTAATATAGTATCCCTGAGACCAAGCTAACTTATGAATGAGGGGACAAGGGGGTGCTGGAGCTTAAACTTGGCATTGCACATGCTGAGCCCAGCCCTTTGGACTCTTGAGACCCAGTTGCCACTCAGCTGCTGCTTCTCCTTGTCCTTATAATTGAGATCCACCATTAATCTTGGGTTACTGTCTGACAGCCAGCCAGATTCAGGGAATGGGTGGTGGTAGCTTTGGGTATATTTAAGTCTGATCCTTTCTGCAGAAGAACGGCTGACATTTGTTGGAGAAGATGACATCGAGATAGAGATGCGAGTTCCTCAGGAGGCTGTGAAGCTTATCATCGGGCGGCAAGGAGCCAATATTAAACAGGTAAGTAGTGTGAGTAAGCCAGACAGCTTCCCCAGACACTAATTCTGTTTATTGACTTGGTTTCCTTCCTCAGACCCCATATCACGAACTACTCCCATGCTGTATATATTTTAGAAAGAAAAATGGAGGCTGTGGAAATGGCTCAATGGAATAAGCACTTCCCTGGCAAGCGCAAGGGCCTGAGTTCAATCCCTGGTTCTGCAAAAAGAAAGAGAGGGAGAGAGGGAGAGGGAGGGAGGGAGAGACAGAGACAGAGACACACAGAGAGATGGCTGAGGAGGTTGCAGAGGTTGCTTGCTGGTGGTGTGTTTGCCTGGCATACACCAGTCCTGGGCTCATACCTGCTAACACACACACACTGAGAACCAGGAACTTTTTTAAAGCTTACAGTAGATACTGTTTCCCTCCAAGAGATGAGCACTTCTGCCTCGAAAATCAGTGCTTGAAACAAGAGTGTTTCATAGGATGTCTCAGCTTGTGATAGCTTAAACTATTCTTTTCCATTGTGGAGTCAATGAACTCTCATTGACAGTAAGTGTAGAATTGCTGCCTAGTTTTTCTTACTATCTTCTGTTATTCAGCCAAAATGCCAAGAAAGCAATCGTTTTTTCTCTAATCCACATAAAATTAGATAGGAAAAGAGTTGTAGATTGAAAAAGAAGTGGTTTTGAATTAACTGCTGTTTGGGGTTGCCTTTGTCACTAATCGCTTTCTTAAGCAGAATTAAATGAAGACTGTGCATCCTGATTTAGCTGATGCTTTTGGTTGGTTTTCTCTACATCCAGGGTTTTGTTGAGACTCCCCTTAGCATGCCTGAGTGGGAGCTTTTGCAGAATATACCGCTAGAACTGGGGAGATAGCTCAGTGGCATAAGCGCATGCCTGGCAAGCGCAAGGTCCTGAGTTTGATCCCTCGTACCAAAAAAAAAAAAAAAAAAAAAAAAAAAAAAAAAAAAGAAGAAGAAAAAGAAAAAGGAGTATACCACCAGATCTCTTTTTCTCGGCAGCTGCGGAAACAGACAGGTGCTCGGATTGATGTGGACACAGAGGATGTAGGAGACGAGCGAGTGCTACTTATCAGTGGTTTTCCTGTTCAGGTGTGCAAGGCCAAAGCAGCAATCCATCAGATCCTGACAGAGAATACCCCAGTGTCTGAACAGCTCTCAGTGCCCCAGAGATCTGTGGGCAGAATCATAGGTACCACTGGATGGCTTCCTCTGCTGTTTTCTTTATGCTTTACCTTTGCCTTTTTTTCATACCTTCTAAGGGTTTTCCTGGCCTACTCCCAGGAAAAAAGTTGGACTTGAGATCAGAACCTTTCGTTCATAACTGATGGTAAAACAGAAGCTGTTACCTCAAAAAATTGTGTGATCTGAGGTAGATGTGATGGCACATGCCTTTAATCATAGCACTGAGGAAGGCTGAGGCAGGAGGACTGCAAGTTTGTGTCCCATCTGACCAACTTGTAAGACCCTGTCTCAAAAAAAAGCAGGAGGGAGTTCAAATCCCCGGTTCTGCAAAAAAAAAGGAGGCCAAGGGTTCAGAGTGGCCCTGAGTTTGATCCCCAGGACAAGAAAGAAGTGGGGAGCTTGCATGGTCTGAGTCTTACATACAGGTTCCAGAGGTGTTCTGGTAAATGTATTCACCGCATAATAGATTTTTCTAGGTAACCTAGCAGTGTTCATGCTAGCCTAGGTCATTTGAGACAATGCTCTAAAGAGCATTTGTTATGCTTTCTGAATTAGGATCATTCTTTAGTGCTGCTGTTAGAAACAGAAAAGTGTTCTGTCTTCTGTTCGGAATTTTGATACGCTGTGTGTACTATGTAGCGTGTCTTCTTAGGAGCTAGAAATATAAACTGTTGTCCTGCTGAGCAGCCAAGATATGGAAATGACATAAAGTTAATCTAGCCAGAATGTGTATTTAAAATGGATAAGCTAAGGTGTATTCTGTAGTAGTTTTAGGTTTCCATTCATCTTATATTCTGTTAATTTTAGAAGTGAAAACTTCCTTCTCCTAGTACATACAGGTTACTCTGGTAAAGATGGGAAAGGACAGGTTTCTTTGTGCTGTTCAATGTAGGGAGAGGTGGCGAGACAATTCGTTCTATCTGTAAGGCCTCTGGAGCCAAAATTACCTGTGACAAAGAATCAGACGGGACGTTACTACTATCAAGGCTTATCAAAATCTCAGGAACACAGAAAGAAGTGGCAGCAGCCAAGGCAAGTAACTTAGACTTGTTTCATGCCTAATGACACCTGTACTCCATCCTGGGTCAGTATCTGGCTGCATAGATATTGTCTCTTCTGTTTTCTGCAGCATTTGATACTGGAGAAAGTGTCAGAAGATGAAGAGCTTCGCAAGAGAATCACCCATTCTGCAGAAGCCAGGGTCCCTCGCAAGCAGCCAATCAGCGTGAGGAGAGAGGAAACCCCGGAGCCAGGTGGTGCAAGGGAGCCTGCTTCGCGGAAAAATGCCGGCTGGGGCAGCACACATGCTGCACCCCTGGCAGTTCCTCCCCACAAAGGAGTCGGTGACTCAGCTGTTGTAGGACCAAAAGAGGGTTCTTGGGAGGAACCTGATAACAGCTGTCAGAAGACCGGAGTCCAGGCCAGTCCAGAGAAGTCCATTTTTG